GCACCTTAAGTTCAAAAACGCCGAGGAAAATTTTTGTGGACAAAAAAATTCAACCATCCTTTGCGGATTTTTTCGTGCCTTTAACATGCGCATAAGTGCACACTCTTCAATGCCGAATAGGCTGTGTCTTTTGAACAAGCTGTTTGCACACTAACGCTATGTAATTAAGATGCTGTCACTTCGTTTTGAGTGTGTGTTCTTGTGGTTTCGAACAGTGATGATTCGACCGATGCCGCAGCTGGGTGGGATGAGGAGGGAACAGCTTAGGATGCTATGTAGCCGGTTCCATGTGAGCGATGGATATCCCTCTTTTTGGAGGTTCCTCTGATGGAGATCCTGAGGATGATGGGCAATCCCTTGGAGGAGCTAGCACACGTGAATCAAGGATGAGTTTCGGTCAGCCTTGTGTTCCTTCACCTGTGGTCGCCTCTTTTGATTTTGAGTCACAGTCTGTTAATCCTAGCTCTTCGATTGAAATTAGTGCTCGCAGCAATCGTGCTTTCTTTGAAACTTCACTTGTGAATGCATCCGCTTTCAATCATGTGAAGCTGCCTTGGGAGACAGGGGTTGCCAAGCAGATTTTCTCAGAGGAGCCATTTGACCATCAGGTAGTGCCGACCTTAGCCATCTGGCCTTGGGGTGCGACACCCACGGAAGCTGCAGAGGCCCTAGTTGCTGAGGCAGGCCATGACGCACTCCTACCTTTGGATGCAACTATCTATACTAGTGTTGTCAAAAGTTTGGATGACAAGGCATATTTTGAGCAACGTGCTTCACTGTTTGATGCAGCCATCCAAAAACTCTGGATCGTAATCAGCCACTGTTTCAAGATCAGTTCAACTGGCCGGCAGATTGTTGAAGCAGGACTTGATGCAGATCTATCGCGGGCTCATTCGATTATTCAGGCTTGCATGGGCTTGAAGTCACCTAGTACTGTTGTGAAAAGGGCAAATTCACTTGTGTCTTTCCTCCGGTGGTGTTTGAAAGCTGGAATTGTGGATGTAAATCCCTTCACAGAAGCAAATGCTTGGGCATATTTTTGTGATTTGAAGAAAAACGCAGCGCCTGCAACCCGAGCTGCATCTTGCATGTCTGCTTTCAGATTTGCCTTGCGTGTTCTTGGTTTTGAATCCTTATCGCATGTGACCACTAGCAGACGCCTGATTGGACTGAGCGATCAACGTTCCTGCGTCAGGCGCTGCCTTTGACCGTGATCCAGGTGAAAATGCTTCATGATGTGGTATTAAACTCAAACATCCATATCACCGACCGTTGTGCGGCTGCATATTTTCTGATCGCGATTTATGGAAGGTGCCGTCATAGTGATTTGGTCCAGGTAGACTCCATTCATCCTGATTTCGGTGCTGAAGGAGGCTTTCTGGAAATTCGCACTGCGCACCACAAGACAGGTCGCGGGGCAGACAAAAAGTTTATGTTTTTGCCAATCCTCATTCCTGCCATGGATGTGAAGGGGATCATGTGGCTTGAAGGTGCGACCAGTGCCTTCACTGAAGCAGGCCTTTCTTTGTGTGGAACGATCCAGGGCCCATTGTTTCCAGCGCCAGGAGCCATGCCAGGGGTTTTTAATAAGAGGCCTTTGGCGTCCAGTGAAGCGTCATCGTATTTGCGTGCACTTGTTCGTTTGCCTGAGCCAAAGAAAGGATCTAGTGAACAGATTGTCAGTTCACACTCCTGCAAGGCTACCATGCTTTCTTGGTGTGCGAAATTCGGATTAGGTGAGGTCACTCGTACCATCCTGGGAAGGCACTCCCGGGCAGCAGCCGAGACATACGCGATTTACTCGCGAGACCTCATTGTTGCACCGACCAGAGAGCTTCAAGGAGTAATCAATAAGGTAGCGGCCGGAACTTTTTGTCCTGATGCCCCTCGAAGTGCTTTCTTCCCGACCGACTCGGAACAGCCAGCAAGGGAGGTCACCATAGGACCAAACCATCATGCTGCAGATGAAACCGGGCTTCGTGAGGATGTCAAGAGTGAAGGACAGGCTGGAGACTTGGGTTCTGAAAAGGTCTTGATTGACATTAGCGATGATGAATCTTCAAGTGACTCTTCTTCAGGAAGTGATGCTTCATCTTCTGAATCATCCTGTTTGGAGGAACCGCCGGTCAGGGTGAAGCGCTTCAGACCCCAGGTGCCGCAGACTGAGACTTGGTTCGTGAATGAGAAGTCACACATCCTCCATGTTTTGAGCAATGCTGCAAGCGGTGATGACTTTTTGTACCTTGCATGTGGAAAGAGGCTCAATGCCGCTTACCGTCGGTCCACCGATTCGGATTCCTGGAATGCCCTCTGCAAATTGTGCCAGCGGAGGAAAGGCTAAAGGCCTAACTGAGACCCATGCGAGGTCGTATGAAAAGTTGTGTATGCTTGTTTGAGTTGATGCCATGCGTGCATTTCTTAGGGGCGGTGTAGCCGAGTCATGCTAAATTGTCATATGTGTGTGGCTCCCAGGGGGTCCTGAGATGTCAGGGCATACGAACGAATGTGATGATGGAATTACTTTTGTTGCATCCGTTTCGGGGTCGTTTCAAGACCTTTGTTTTTCCGAAAGAATTGTGCTGATTCTTGCATACACTACTGCTGAATTTTTTTGTATTTGCAGTAAACACCTTGTCAATGAAACGTTCCTGGTTTCTTTGAGGCACCGCGACATCCCTCACGCGGCCATGGCGTCCATTTTGGACAGCGAAGCTCAGTTCGATCTACGGTCGAATGAATGCAAGGTTCCGCAAAACATTGCAACCGCCCTGAAGGCCCACGACATAAAGACACTAGCCAGCTTGTCGTATTGCATCGGCCAACCCGGACAGGTTATCGATCAGCAGGAGTTCACGGCTTGGGTGAGGACGCTGGAACCTCATGCTACATTGGGCGGCATTGCGAGTTTGCGTAGGTTGACTTTTGAAAGCCAAACGCAACTTTTAGCGTTGCTAAAGGAGCAGGTGACTGCGCCTGAAGCAATGCCGCGCAAAGTACCACAGGCTGAGCGTGAGGCTCGCTTGGCTTTGGTGCAAGGCAGGTTGAACGGCGTTTTGATTGAAGGGGTGATGGAGCCAGGTCATGCGCTCTTAGATGCGGTGGTACATATGGTGGAGAAGAATCAGTTCAAATATCTGAGCCCAGACAGGTGCATCTCTCGTGTGCACGAACTCACAAACCAGAAGACTCCTGATCGCATTTTGGAAATTGAAGCGAACAAAATCGTGGTGAAGAACCAGGACGAAGGTTTAGAGGTTGCGGCTCACTCTTCACTGCAGATATTGGAGGCACTCAAACGCAGGGGAATCGCATTAGAGTTTGGCGATTGTATGGATTACAACAAGCGTGAGAAGTACTTGCAGACTCTTTTCCAACATCTCCATCGCGAGCCGCCGCCGGGGTTTCAACGTTGCACAGTTTCTCAACTTGTGGCCGCCGACAAAGAGGCTTGGAAGCGTGTGATTGAGTTGAACGTCAAGCCTAGGCGTGCGGAAGATGGTTCGCGCCCCCTTGACACCCAATTGTTGCAGGCTCTCACATCGTATGAGGTTTCCTTCACGTTGATTCCTTTGCCGTCCAAGCCGAAGCCTGAACCTAAGCGTGACAAGGGTGATTACCAATTGCAAGATGGTTCTAAGGGCAAAGGCAAGAAGGGGCCTCGACGGTTTGGGAAAGGCTCAGATCCGTATTACAAGGGCAAGGGAAAATCCAAGTAAAAAACCAAGGGTGCCGTCACAGATCCGTGATCTTGGTGGAACCGCCAGCACACCTACGGGCGCCAGAATCTGCTTCGATTACGGCCTGAAGAAATGCCAGGCAAAGTGTGCCGACGGAGCTGAGTGTCCGAAGGGGCTGCATGTGTGCAGCAAGTGCTACGGGAGCCTAGCTCCGAAAGTCGTAACATGCATGACGAGTGTTTGTCCATACATAGTTCACCTTGTGACATTTTCCCGAGGAAACAGTCGCCGAGGGCATGGAGGACACTTTCCGAGAATTTGTTTTGGAGAAGGCACTGGAAACCAAAGCCACTCTCCATAGCCAGGCTGAGGCAGAATCTCTGCCCACGGCCCCTGAGTCAAGCGCCATGGAAACTCCAAGCAATATGCTTCCGTCTTCAGAATTGAAGCCTTCTTTTTCGTATCAAGCCGACAGTCCTTTCGTAATTGAATTGTGTGCTGGTTCGGCGCGTGTCACCAGTTACGCTAGAGCCATTGGTCTTAAAGATTCTTTTGGCGTTGATCATGTGAAGCAACAAAACTGTGGTAGAATTCACGTCGCTGATTTGACCACCAAGGCAGGCAAAACACTGTGCAGGCAGTGGTTGCAATCCAAGTCGCTCTTAGGCGTTTTCATGGCACCTCCCTGTGGAACTTGTAGTCAGGCCAGATCGATACCATTAAGACACCCCTCAGGTAAACCTTTGACCGGGCCCAAGCCTTTGCGCTCTGAGGAATTCCCTGATGGGCTTCCAAACTTGAACACTTTGGATAGGATTAGGGTGTCTGCTGCGAACCGGCTGTATCATTTCCTCACAGAAGTTGCACTTGATTGTTTAAAACGCGACTTGATTGTTGTCATTGAAAACCCAAGGAGAAGTTTATACTGGCGCGCTTCTCTTTTTCAGCCGTTGGCCGAGCATTTGCAATACACGGCGCACCAAGCGTGCGCCTACGGCAGCACTCGGCCGAAGTGGACGGTTTTGGCGCATAACCACGCCGCGTTTGCAAAAATCAACCATTGTTGTCCCGGTGTTTCACCCAAGCATAAACATGATGCATGGGGCCTCACGTCGACCGGGTTCGCCACCGGTCAGGAGACCGCTTATCCGTTACAATTGGCGTACACCATTGCCCACGCTTTTGCATCCATCGCAGTTGATCGAGGCTGGTCACCGCCCGGGCAACCGCTCACCCCTCCGTCCAAGGTCCACTATGCCTTTTTACGCGCGGTGGTTGGCCAGCAACCAAAAGCCTCAAGACTTCCACCGGTCTTGTCGGAGTATGCTGAGGTCATCCATAGGCACTTTAATCCGCAAACCTTGCCGATCCAGCCTGGACAGCTCTTGCCCTCAGACTGGCAAGACATTCCTGCAGGCTCTAAGTTCCTCAAGTACACTCCGCTACGGTTAACTGGGGGTGACGGTAATAGGAATGTAGGAGAAGTTGAGGCAGGCAAAGTCAGCGGTGCTTTTGGTGTCTACAGAAGTCCTGACGTGTTCGTCAAAGAGGCGGTAAACATGGGACATCCCATCAAGCTTCAAAACTCCTTGCCCAAGGCCTTTGGCTGACGCGCTTGAAAAAAGCAAATCAGTTTCGTTAAAAAAACTGAACGCAAATAGGCTTGAAGTTTTGAAATCATGGGTTGGTAAAGCTAGGAGCCTTGAAAAGGAAGAAGACCAGATCAGACAATCGTTGCCGGATCATGCGAAAGCCATACTCGCCCCCAAGCGCATTGCACTTTGGACGCACTTGCTTCGTGAGTATAATTACCCTGACCAAGGGGTGGTTGATGAGCTCATAGGGGGTGTGCGGTTGACGGGTCCAGTGCCTAGGTCTGCTGTCTTTGAACACTCCTTCAAGCCTGCTCTCCTTACCGAGGGGGAGTTGCAGAAGGGGGCGCCAGCATCTAGGGCTGCCTTAATCCACAGTGTAAGAAGTAGCGGGGATGCTTTCATTGACGCCGAGGTTTACAGGAAAACTCAGGAAGAGGTGCGAGCAGGTTGGATTAGAGGTCCAATGGAGCTAAACTCCCTCCCAAAACATGCCATAGTAAGCAGGCGATTTGGACTGAAGCAAGGATCCGGTGACTCTGTGAAGGTGCGACTGATAGATGATTTTTCCTGCAGCATGGTGAACCAGACCACGCAGGTGGAGACCACACCACAGTTGCACACTCTGGATGTGATTGCTGCCCTCCTGCTTGAGCTGGCTAAAGAGTGGGTTGGAAAGACAGTGGATTTAGCAGCGGCTTACCGACAGCTGGCAATCTCTCCACAAAGCCTTTGGGCATCATATGTAGCAACCTTTAACCCCACCAGTCGTCGTGTAGAAATATACCAAGTGCTTGCATGGCCTTTCGGGGCGTCCAGTTCGGTGTACGGGTTCATCCGCGTGGCGCACTCCCTTTGGTGGTTGGGGTGCGTGGGCCTGGACTTTGTTTGGACGTCGTTCTACGATGACTTTGTCACTTTAGCCAGGAACGGTGAGCAAGACCTGGTGGACAGGGCTGTCAAACAGTTCTTTGGCTTGTTGGGATGGAAGATTTCAGGGGTGACAAGGACCAACCGTTTGGCCAAACCTTTTGTGCGCTGGGAGTCGAGATCTCCTTCAAATCTTGGTCTAAAGGCATTGCCGTTTGGCAGAATACCAAACGCAGGATTCGTGAGCTTGTTGAGACCATCGACAAAATCCTTGAAGCCGGAGAGTTGGCGCAGCCGCTTGCACTGTCGCTGCGAGGGCGCATGCAATTCGCTAGGTGCCAGATCTGGGGCAGGTCCAGCAAGATTTGCTTGAATGCTATCACAAACCATGCATACGGCGGGCCGAGCAAGAAGCTTAGCCCTGAGGTCAAGATTGCCCTCTGTGACTTCAAGTTTTTTTT